ATTATATTATTAAACCAAATATAAATTACTTCGTTATTGTACCTAAATTAAATTATAAAAAAATTGAATTAAAAAAATTACATAAAAATGAGAAATTTTAAATAGTTAATTTGATACTAATATCGATATATTTTTGTCAAATTTTCATGATATCTTCAAACTTATATTTCATTCAAAAATAAAGCATCATCGCTTTCTCAAAATCACATAATACCATATTATAACATCAATTGAGATAAAAAATAAAATAAAATATTAAAATCAAGATATATCTCGCAATATTGCGCGAGTACACTTCTAATATATATATATATATATATATATATATATATATATATATAGGTAAGTAAGATCATCCAACGAAGATCAGATCGACAAGGGTTAGATAGCTCCACTTAAGCCAAACAAAGGTAAATATTTTAATTATAAAATGTTTTTAATATTTTATAGCTTTATTCTTGGTTGTATGAGTATTGGGGTATTGGGTTTAGTTGCGTATAAGTGAGTGTTTTGATTAATGGGTTTCGTCAAAAATATGGTGGATTTTGGAATAATGTCTCTTTTATTTGTAATACATTTCATTTCCGAAATTATAATTTAAATCAACATTCTTTCAGTTTTACCGTTTTATAATTATGATGAAAACTATTTGAAACTCATTAGGCTTTAAACCTTACTCTTTTTATTTATACGTGGGTCCTTGTTAGGGTTTGGTACCAGTGACACTATGAAAGAGTTGAGTGTTATTCAGATGTACGAAAAAGATCTAGCTAGCTAATCAATGACGTCTTCAATATTTGAAGATAACGATTGTTATTGGGTTTTAGTAACACCTGACTTGACCTAGTCTTGACCTAGCTTGGGTGCTAATAGAGGTTTAGTGTCTTTACCATTTCAAGCCAATACTCTTGGGGCCTGACTACACACGAGTTCATCCCTAAAATTCTCCCGACGACTTAGGGGCCGTTTACTAAACACTTACCCGCTAAGCGTTTACTGGTAAAATTTAACACTACCTCTTACTTATCGGGTAAGAGTTTTGTCCACCAAAACAGCAATGTATGCAATAATTTACCCAGTAAGCGCTTACCATGGTAAGAGTCATCGCCTTCACTTACTTGTAAGACCCTCGGTCCTTGTCTCCCTCTTACAAGGGTAAGATTCTTGGTCCTTACCATATTCATCCGGTAAGATAATGTGACTTGGTAAACGCTTATCTGGGTAAGAGTTTGGTAAACAGTCTCTTAATTAGTGTCAACTCTACTAGGCCAAAGCCTCAAAACAAGGGTCCTAATGCTCGACTCCTCGCAAGTTCATCACCGTAATGCCCAAGGTTCCAAAATCCAGTCTACAAGAGATCATCTCTGGAATACCCACGGTTCCCGAGTCCACTTCTACATGGGTTCCTCTCTGCAACACCAAGACTACCACAAATGCCTACTTAGGCATTGGCCTGAAAATGAGAACAATCAAAACTTCTCAGTTATCGAAATGATTGACTCACTTGTCTATGGATCATTTATATTACATCCTATAATTATATGACTCGACATTGAATGATAAACACACTTAAAACATGCAATTCTCATTAATTATGCAAAATATGCAATTCACATTCAAATGGTACCTTTGAACAATTTAGGTTGGGCCACATACCAAAAACTCATTTGATCCAATATTACTAGACAAACTCTACAATTTTCTTGGATACTCAAAACCAACATAAAGTCCATAAAACCCCTTTACTCAAATGAATGAATGATAATTATACCATTTAATGTTCCCAAGAGAAGTAAAACCGTTTTAAACTCGTATTATCACCATAATTTCAAATCATCAAATCCATATACATATTTTGAAACATCTTATGGACCTTTATAAAACCTTTCCCAATGGTTTTAAAGTCTAAATACTCCAAAAGTATAAACTTGACTTTTACCTAAACACATAAATATAAGAGATCAACAAATGTTGCTCTCAAGTGGTTTATATCTTTAAAAAGCACTGAAACTCGATTCTGAACATTTTAGGGTTTTACAAAGGCAAAATTGCCCAAATACCCCAATATCCAAATACCAACACCATATGGTAAGACTAAAAGTAGATGAACTACAATTCCACTTCAAAGTGCTTCCTAAGATTTCTAACACCAAATATTTCCAATATACAAATAATCACCAAAACTTAAGTCCACAAACTGTATTCAGTACCCAAAATAAAGACATATGTATATTGTTTCACAAAGCAACTAGAACTTATTTTATTATATTTATGCTAAATCTAGGTTTCAAACCAAATTTTGAGCTTCCTTTGATCAAGATTGAGATCTTCAAAACATCACAAAAAATGAAAATGACTTGAAGATGCAAAATGGCCAATCTCTAGGTCAAGAAATGGTGATTTAGAAACTTACCTTCAACCACTAGAAGATCCAAAATCACAAACAATGTCCTCAAAACACCCAAAATTCAGACATTAAGCTTTACAAATCTTCAAAAATAAGAGGAAATGAGGAAGAAGGAAGAATAGTCGAAGTATATGAGCAAAACCCTTGAAAATTAGACCTTTATGTGCTGCTCGCTGCTTCTCGTGACCTTGCCCACGACCTCAGTGGCGTGGCAAGTCGCACATGTCATTCAGAACAACACACTCACACAGATGCTTGCGCGACCCTCGCCGTAACCCTTGTGACATCCCAAGTGCATTGGTCTCTATTTCAAGTGTTTCCCATTTTTACGATCTGATTCACATTCCCAAACATTCCAATATGATAATTATATAAAACCTTAATGATTTAGCATCTTAAATGCCAATTGATAGTGCAAGAATCATAAACGAAGGCTTCGAAATCGTGGGTTACGCTTTCTGACACAACAAGCACCAATGACGAGGACGACACCTTCATTATAGTTTTAAAACCTCATAAAAATGATATCTAAGTTTTCCACAAATCAAACACCAAATGAGTAACCTAGAAATCATCCAATCTCATCATTTAGGAAAAATCCATATAAGAAGTATTTAGAACATAGATAGAGATGTTTTTGACATGCATAAAAAGTTTTGAGATGTAGTATGAACTTGGTTGGTTTCTAGAATAAACCTAGAAAACCAAGCAAATCACGAAATCTTCGGGGAGACTTGAATTTCAATGCACCCTTAAATATCTAGTCTTGAGACTCTTATAATCTTTTGAAAATCTTTGAAAAACCAGCCTTTATGTCTCACCAACCGAATTTAATGAAGACTAAAGAAGTTAGGAGAGAGAGAATGAGAAAACCCTAGACAAACAACCCTATATGCACCCCCTGTGCGGCTTCGCCTAAGCCCGGTCTTTGGTCACGTGGTTGGTCCCCCTTGCTTAATCCCCCAACTCCAGTGGTCCATGGTACTAAGACTATGGGCCGTGCGAAACAAGTCACTGTCCGAGTCGACAGAGGTTTAATCACTTTTATATGAATGAAGTTGTTAAAGTTTTGATCATGATGATAAAAATAGGTAAATGAAATACTTTTGCCTACGGAATTTTCTTTGAATTTTTTTTCGCTAAAGGGCAAAGATTGTTGTTTTGATGCCCAACAACTTGTATATTTATCTCATAGTATGATTGTTATTAACCAATAGAAAGAAAAAGGGCAAAAAAAGAGAAGAAAATGAAAAAGAAAAAGAAAAAGAAAAGATACATAGGGAGCTTTATACCTGATAGGGAAAGGTGAGGGTGGTCAAGTGAAAAAAGAATTCATCACAATTCAATGATATACCAAAGGGCAAAATAGTCCAAACAAAAAAAATCTGGACCTCCTGGAATCAAATATACCAAAAAAGAAAAGTAAGGTTTTCCAAGTTAACACCGACACGTGTCAGTGATCTACTGGTAAAGGACAACCACGATGGATAGAGCAACATGGTACACCAACCAGAAATGTAAATGTATCACAATAAAAGCAAAAAATGCTTAAAAGTGGGTGGACCACGTGTATAAAACCACCAACGGTTTACAAATTTTACAAGCGGTTTTAGAGAGCGAGAGAGAAAGGGAAGGGTTTTGGTACCACATTCCTTATATAGAAGACGACTAATTGCTATCTCAACCGAGAAACCAGAAAAATATAGATACAAAAAGTCGAAAGAGATATACAGATATAGAGAGAGAAAAGTACAGATTGAAGCGAGACGACGATCGATTGTTTCGGATTTTGTCTCCATCAGGAATCTCCAAGCACAAAGTAACTTCTCTTTTTCGATCTTCTCTCTCTTATCTTTTTTTCTTTTCACACACAAACACACAGTAGTTTCTTCGTTTAATTTGATCAGCAATCAGCATCGTTAAGTTTATGCAGTTTCTGACTCGGATTTTTTGTTTAATATGTAGAATTTGATCTGTCTCTTGACTACTCTTTCTCTCTCTATACACATAAACATTTGTATTATATACGTTCGTGTATGCGGTTGTTCAAATGAATTTGGTTTTAGATTATTCATTGATCCTTGACTGTAAACTGTTTGTAATGATTTTTGTTGACTGAGTTGATTGATCGATACTGTGAATTGACTGTTGATTAATTAGGGATCGATATGGGGAGGGGGAAGATCGTAATAAGGAGGATTGACAATTCGACGAGCAGGCAAGTGACGTTCTCAAAGAGGAGGAATGGATTGCTGAAGAAGGCAAAAGAGCTGGCGATATTATGTGATGCTGACGTTGGTGTTGTGATCTTCTCTAGCACCGGCAAACTTCATGAATTCTCGAGCACTAGGTCAGTTTGACTAGATCTATCACCTCTACTTTAATCTATATCCTACAAATGATATGATGGTGATTATAGTTTAATTTTCCCTGCAAATTAACGATTTTATTATTAAAATACAAAATAATACATGAAAATCAATAACATTTCTCGATCCTCAGGTAATATTTGTTTTGATATGTTTTAACTTTTTATATTTTTAGAAATATATACCGAAATTTATCATAAATTGTAATTTTACTTCGTTTAGCTGCTTGATTTTTCATATTAAATATTTTTGTGATTCTGCTTAAGAAGTTATGTTGCTACCTTTCTTCCCAATAAATTATCCTCCTATCTCAAAAGTAAAATGCGGATTTGATTTTAAGAGTCAAATTTTTGATTTTGCAGAAAGAATAGGGTTAGGAACAACATCAATTATATTTATATAAAAAGTATAACAAAATTTTGATCTCAAATCTGTAAAACGTCGACGTGTGGATTCATTGACTTTTTTTAAAATTAAACAAAACTATATATATATGATGCAAGGAATTTATATTTTAATATGGTTTTGGTTTGTGTATTTATAATTGTATGTTCTTGTGGTTAATTGTTGAGTGGTGTTCATATGATTTTACTAGAGGCAGATTCAATATATTAAGATTACGAGGCTAATTGTATGTTATAGTACGTATCTGAAGCTTAAATTTATTAAGTCCCTTTCTACAATGGGGAATTAATGGGGAATTACTATTAATTAATTAAGATCCTGGTACTAGGTTATTGGTGGAGGTTTCACAATCCAAAGTTACCTATAGCTCATGCAAAGGCTTCCAACAAGACATGCATCTGATTCTCGATCATAAGATGGGTAGGAGTGGAACTAGTAGATGCTAATTATAACACCCCCTCCATCAAGTATTGTGGTATATATATATATATATATATATACACACACACACTTCTATTTAAGTATTAGACTTGATTAGTTAATCTGGAAATCTTTGTCTAATAGATGTTTCATGGGACGTTATATTATTTGATTAGAATCCAAATCTAGTGGATGTTGCTTCATGGTTATATCATTTTGATTGATTACTTGATAAAATTCTTTGCCGTTTAAAAAGGAAAAAAAAAAAAAAAATCGGTGGTGCCACCACTCCTCTTTTGTAGGGATAGCTACTAGTTCCGAACATATACTTCAAACTACACAAGAAGTTTCAAATATAAATGCAGGCATCTTCATTATCAAAAAACACTTTTCACTCATGGCTCAAGGAAGTTGGGTATGAACTTTCATTGACCCTTCGTGCATAGTAAGGGAGTAGGGATCCTGTGGTTATCAATCTTCATTTTCCAATTAAGGTTGGAATTTGGAAATTATTTACGATCATGATGGGATCCCTCTTATTCTTCTTTTTTTGGCAGCCATGGTTGCTCGGTCCACTTTTTGTACCTCAACTAACCTCATGAATGTAATAACCACAAAAATCACAGTTGACTTGAGGAGATTCAAACTCAAGACCTATGTGAAGTCTTGGGAAATTATTTCTGTTGTTCTTTACCATGGAGGATCAAGTTGGCAACTTAAAGGGCTAATTAAAGAGTTAGGGTATAAGTAGACTATATTCATATCAGGTGTGCTTTTGAAATTAGAATATGTCGTGGCATGCAAGAGATTAGTACGTAGTTTTTTGTTTTGTTCATCTATATATGTGAGAAAAATTGCAAGGAAATTATGCTGAGACATATTTCTTTCTTCAATTTTCTTTAAGACCCCTTCCCCTTAACAGATCGGAGATGGATAATAAAACCATAAAAATAGATTAATGGGTTTTTGGGGTGAAAACATATTCAATGGCTAAATTAATGTGGTCCTATACGGTACAAGTAATTTGAGGGTTGTCTTATTTATTTACTAGAGTATTCGCGTAATACAACGAAATATATCTTGATTTTAATATTTAATTTTATTCTTTGTTTCAGTCAATGTTATAGTATGATCCCATGTGATTTTGAAAAAAACGATGATGCTTTTATTTTTGAATAAAATATAAATTTGAAAATATCATAAAAAATTGATAAAAATATATCGATATTAGTATCAAATTAACTATTTAAAATTCCTATTTTTTGTGTA